CAGTCTGAGGAACGTGGACGTTCTAAACATGGCTGGTCTTTTTGGTTCTACAGGTGCTGGTCATAAAATTAGAATATCATGAAAAAGTAGATTGATTTCAGTAATTCCATTTAAAAAGTGAAACTTGTATATTATATTCATACATTACATACAAACTCATATATTTCAGATGTTTATTTTGTTTAATTTTGATGATTACAAATGACAACAAATGAAAATCTCAAATTCATCATATCAGAAAATTAGAATATTACTGAAGACCAATAAAAACAAAGGATTTATAGAAATGTTGGCCAACTGAAAAGTATGAACATGAAAAGTATGAGCATGTACAGCACTCAGTATTTAGTTGGGCCTCCTTTGGCCTGTATTACTGCAGCAATGCGGCGTGGCATGGAGTCGATCAGTCTGTGGCACTGCTCAGGTGTTATGATAGCCCAGGTTGCTCTAATAGTGGCTTTTAGCTCTTCTGAATTGTTGGGTCTGGTGTATTGCATCTTCTTCTTCACAATACCCCATAGATTTTCTATGGGGTTAAGGTCAGGAGAGTTTGCTGGCCAATTAAGAACAGGGATACCATGGTCCTTCAACCAGGTACTGGTAGCTTTGGCACTGTGTGCAGGTGCCAAGTCCTGTTGGAAAATGAAATCTGCATCTCCAAAAAGTTGGTCAGCTGCAGGAAGCATGAAGTGCTCTAAAACTTCCTGGTATGTGGCTGCGTTGACCCTGGACCTCAGAAAACACAATGGACCAACACCAGCAGATGACATGGCACCCCAAACCATCACTGACTGTGGAAACTTTACACTGGACTTCAAGCAACGTGGATGAAGTGCCTCTCTTCTTTTCCTCCAGACTCTGGGACCTTGATTTCCAAAGGAAATGCAAAATTTACTTTCATCAGAGAACATGACTTTGGACCACTCACCAGCAGTCCAGTCCTGTTTCTCTTTAGCCCAGGCAAGACGCTTCTGACGCTGTCTGTGGTTCAAGAGTGGCTTGACACAAGGAATGCGACAGCAGAAACCCATGTCTTTCATACGTCTGTGTGTGGTGGTTCTTGAAGCACTCACTCCAGCTGCAGTCCACTCTTTGTGAATCTCCCCCACATTTTTGAATGGGTTTTGTTTCACAATCCTCTCCAGGGTGCGGTTATCTCTCTTGCTTGTACACTTTTTTCGACCACATCTTTTCCTTCCCTTCGCCTCTCTATTAATGTGCTTGGACACTGAGCTCTGTGAACAGCCAGCCTCTTTAGCGATGACCTTTTGTGTCTTGCCCTCCTTGTGCAAGGTGTCGATGGTCGTCTTTTGGACAACTGTCAAGTCAGCAGTCTTCCCCATGATTGTGTAGCCTATAGAACTAGACTGAAAGACCATTTAAAGGCTTTTGCAGGTGGTTTGAGTTAATTAGCTGATTAGAGTGTGGCACCAGGGGCCATCAATTTTGAACCTTTTCACAATATTCTAATTTTCTGATATGATGAATTTGAGATTTTCATTTGTTGTCATTTGTAATCATCAAAATTAAACAAAATAAACATCTGAAATATATGAGTTTGTATGTAATGTATGAATATAATATACAAGTTTCACTTTTTAAATGGAATTACTGAAATCAATCAACTTTTTCATGATATTCTAATTTTATGACCAGCACCTGTAGTTGGTTAATATAGAACCGTGTTTGCTCTGTCTGAGGAACGTAGACGTTCTAAACATGGCTGGTCTTTCTGGTTCTAGATGGTTAATATAGAACCGTGTTTGCTCTGTCTGAGGAACGTGGGCGTTCTAAATATGGCTGGTCTTTCTGGTTCTAGATGGTTTATATAGAACCGTGTTTGCTCAGTCTGAGGAACGTGGACATTCTAAACATGGCTGGTCTTTTTGGTTCTAGTTAGTTAATATAGAACCGTGTTTGCTCTGTCTGAGGAACGTGGACGTTCTAAACATGGCTGGTCTTTCTGGTTCTAGATGGTTAATATAGAACTGTGTTTGCTCAGTCTGAGGAACGTAGAAGTTCTAAACATGGCTGGTCTGTCTGGTTCTAGATGGTTTATATAGAACCGTGTTTGCTCAGTCTGAGGAACGTCGACGTTCTAAACATGGCTGGTCTGTCTGGTTCTATATGGTTTATATAGAACCGTGTTTGCTCAGTCTGAGGAATGTAGACGTTCTAAACATGGCTGGTCTGTCTGGTTCTAGATGGTTAAAATAGAACCCTGTTTGCTCAGTCTGAGGAACCTAGACGTTCTAAACATGGCTGGTCTGTCTGGTTCTAGATGGTTAATATAGAACTGTGTTTGCTCAGTCTGAGGAACGTAGAAGTTCTAAACATGGCTGGTCTGTCTGGTTCTAGATGTTTTATATAGAACCGTGTTTGCTCAGTCTGAGGAATGTAGACGTTCTAAACATGGCTGGTCTGTCTGGTTCTAGATGGTTAATATAGAACAATGTTTGCTCTGTCTGAGGAACGTGGACGTTCTAAATATGGCTGGTCTTTCTGGTTCTAGATGGTTAATATAGAACCATGTTTGCTCTGTCTGAGGAAAGTAGACGTTCTAAACATGGCTGGTCTGTCTGTTTCTAGATGGTTAATATAGAACCGCGTTTGCTCTTTCTGACGAACGTAGACGTTCTAAACAAGGCTGGTCTGTCTGGTTCTAGATGGTTAATATAGAACCATGTTTGCTCTGTCTGAGGAACGTGGACGTTCTAAACATGGCTGGTCTGTCTAGTTCTAGATGGTTAATATAGAACCGTGTTTGCTCAGTCTGAGGAACGTAGACGTTCTAAACATGGCTGGTCTGTCTGGTTCTAGATGGTTAATATAGAACCGTGTTTGCTCTGTCTGAGGAACGTAGACGTTCTAAACATGGCTGGTCTGTCTAGTTCTAGATGGTTAATATAGAACCGTGTTTGCTCAGTCTGAGGAACGTAGACGTTCTAAACATGGCTGGTCTGTCTGGTTCTAGATGGTTAATATAGAACCGTGTTTGCTCAGTCCGAGGAACGTAGACGTTCCAAACATGGCTGGTCTATCTGGTTCTAGATGGTTAATATAGAACCGTGTTTGCTCAGTCTAAGGAACGTGGACGTTCTAAACATGGCTGGTCTATCTGGTTCTAGGTGGTTAATATAGAACCGTGTTTGCTCAGTCTGAGGAAAGTAGACGTTCCAAACAGGGCTGGTCTATCTGGTTCTAGATGGTTAATATAGAACTGTGTTTGCTCAGTCTGAGGAACGTAGACGTTCTAAACATGACTGCTCTTTCTGGTTTTGGATTCTCAGCAGTATTTTCGTTGGTAGACCATTTGCTGATAGATTCCGTGGGGTTTTCTGGTTGGTTGTCAGTCTTTTGTCTTCCTGAGAGTCAGTCCATCTATAGCTTTGGGTAAAATCTGTTCTGGTTTTAGACTTCTGTGATGTAGCTGAATCGATATCTGACGCCCGCTCTAGTCGTCCTGTTCCTTACAGTTGAAGCGTGGGGGAGAGGTTGAGTAGAAATGGTGAAGGAAGATCTGAGGAATCCCTTTTGGAAGGAATTCAATTCCAGCAGGTGATTGGAGTTGGGCTGAAGAACATGTGACCTCACAGGTTGTTTTTCATGAATAGCAATTCTAGGACATTTTACCCCCCGCCCCCCCCAAACTTTTTCGTAGCTGTCCATATAAGGGCTCCTATTTATCCGCAAACATTAAAAATAGTAGAGTCTGCAAGTTTTCTATGTTGAGGTGACCTGAAACACCGTAAAATCCCTTTCTAACCAAAAGGTCAGATTCTTTTATTTCTGCTAAACGGTCTGACATGTCTTTATTTTCTTATCTTATATCAGCAGCGGCTGGTGGAGATTTCTCTCCAGGGGGGGCTATTAATTCAAAATAGACATAACAAAAACCAATCAAATGCAAACTAAGTTATCACACCAGTATATTTAGATGAATGCCAACATCAAAAACATTATAAAAACTCTTTTTAAAAACAAAACATCATTTCATGTCCGGGTTTACTTCAGGGGGGGACTCGACCTGTACTAGCTGCAATATGACTGTGATGTCAGTTCCTGTCAGCTCAGGGCGCAGCTCTCCCAGAATCTCCTCTTATCTAACATTCCAGAGGAGCTTCTGCACATGGACAACTTTTAACCAGAGTCTATGGCCAAAGATTCTTGCACCCAAGGACGGAAATACGTCACCAATCTGACAACAAACCAAGCAGCATTAAAGATCTTGCACATCTAAAAAACATATCAACATATTTTTAAATTGTTAAATTTTATAATTTAATCATTTGTTTTTTTAACTCTTAATCGAGGTCTTTGGGGGGTGGGGCAGCGTCCTGGCGCCCTCTTTTGGCCAGATGCCACTTCTTATTATGAGCGTCAATATTCCTGCATATTGACCCTAATTGATGAAGTAATTTCTCCTTTCCATGGAATTATAGTTCTGAAAATAATGCAGTACCATCTGCATACTGGCCAATCTTGTTCCCGGTGATGCAGTAGTGAAGAATGAGGGTGACCTTCAGCAGCCCTGGTGAACGCCTGGCTGGATTTTATATCTAACAAACAGAAAGGGTTACTGACCAAACCATGTGACCATTGTCCATAAAGTCTACCTAATCTAGCTGCTAACGATCCATCAGGACTGTTGAGTGTACTGCCTTTAGCACTAAGCAGCTGATGGACCCCTGAGATGCTGAGGGAGGCCTATAGAGTTCCAGCAGCTTGGTTTCAGGCACTTCCTGAAGCCACCATGGACAGGAGGACCCGTAAAGTAACCTGAAGCCCCCGTCCAAAATCACCTACATAGAGGTGCTCTACGCCACACAGTCCAGGCCACCAATGTCACTAAAGAGATGAAGACCACCTGGGGTCATTGTTTAAATTAGCTGATATAATGTCAGAAGTTCATCTGACCCTAGGTCTGTGGTTCATTGAAAGGAAGCTGCTTCATTAGGAACCTGAACACTAACCAACTGGACATGTTTTCTCCTCTGCAGAACGATGTGGTCGTTTCTTGGCGTCCTTCTTCTGAGTTCCCAGGGAACGTGTAAGAACCCTTTTTTCTTTTTTGTTTCATGTAGTTAATGAAGGAAATGTTTTGACATCAGCTTTATGTCATCTGCGTCCTTTCACTGACGTCTATCAAAGGATGAAGGGAAGGAAGGCTGCATAAAGCCCAGCTATTCCTGCCTATGTTCAGTGTCCGGTCCTATGTCCTTCCATGTCTCACTGGCTGCAGAGCGTATAAAGGCTCTGACTGGGTATAGAGCAGGGCCCCCACGAACTGAAACCATTCCTCACATCTGACTGGGAAGGATTCCAACCGCCCCCCTCACGTTTGGAGTGGCAAGTGGCAAGACACTCTCCACCTGTCTATGGGCGAGGGACGCCTTTCTCCACCTGTCTATGGGCGAGGGGCGCCTATCTCCACCTGTCTATGGGCGAGGGGCGCCTATCTCCACCTGTCTGTGGGCGAGATGCGCCTATCTCCACCTGTCTGTGGGCGAGGTGCGCCTATCTCCACCTGTCTGTCGGCGAGGTGCGCCTATCTCCATCTGTCTATGGGCAAGGTGCACCTATCTCCATCTGTCTATGGGCGAGGGGTGCCTATCCACCTGTCTATGGGCGAGGTGCGCCTATCTCCACCTGTCTGTGGGCGAGGTGCGCCTATCTCCACCTGTCTATGGGCGAGGGGCGCCTATCTCCACCTGTCTATGGGCGAGGGGCGCCTATCTCCACCTGTCTGTGGGCGAGATGCGCCTATCTCCACCTGTCTGTGGGCGAGGTGCGCCTATCTCCACCTGTCTGTGGGCGAGGTGCGCCTATCTCCATCTGTCTATGGGCGAGGTGCACCTATCTCCATCTGTCTATGGGCGAGGGGTGCCTATCCACCTGTCTATGGGCGAGGTGCGCCTATCTCCATCTGTCTATGGGCGAGGGATGCCTGTCTCCACCTGTCTATAGGCGAGGGACGCCTGTCTCCACCTGTCTATGGGCGAGGGGCGCCTATCTCCACCTGTCTATGGGCAAGGGGCACCTATCTCCATCTGTCTATGGGCGAGGGGCGCCTATCTCCACCTGTCTATGGGCAAGGTGCGCCTATCTCCACCTGTCTATGGGCGAGGTGCGCCTATCTCCACCTGTCTATGGGCGAGGTGCGCCTATCTCCATCTGTCTATGGGTGAGGGACGCCTATCTCCACCTGTCTATGGGCGATGGGCGCCTATCTCCATCTGTCTATGGGCGAGGGGCGCCTATCTCCACCTGTCTATGGGCGAGGGGCGCCTATCTCCACCTGTCTATGGGCGAGGGGCGCCTATCTCCACCTGTCTATGGGCGAGGGGCGCCTATCTCCACCTGTCTATGGGCGAGGGGCGCCTATCTCCACCTGTCTATGGGCGAGGGGCGCCTATCTCCTGTTGTTGACAGGCGAGGGACGCCTATCTCCTGTTGTCGACGGGCGAGGGGCGCCTATCTCCTGTTGTCGACGGGCGAGGGGCGCCTATCTCCTGTTGTCGACGGGCGAGGGGCGCCTATCTCCTGCTGTCTAGGGGCGAGGGGCGCCTATCTCCTTCTGTCTAGGGGCGCCTATCTCCTGCTGTCTACGGGCAAGGGACACCTATCTCCACCTGTCTATGGGCGAGGGGCGCCTATCTCCTTCTGTCAACGGGCGAGGGGCGCCTATCTCCTGTTGTCAACGGGCGAGGGGCGCCTATCTCCTGCTGTCTATGGGCGAGGGGCGCCTATCTCCTGCTGTCTATGGGCGAGGGGCGCCTATCTCATGCTGTCTATGGGCGAGGGGCGCCTATCTCTTGCTGTCTATAGGCGAGGGACGCCTATCTCCTGCTGTCTATAGGCGAGGGGCGCCTATCTCCTTCTGTCAACGGGCGAGGGACGCCTATCTCCACCTGTCTATGGGCGAGGGGCACCTATTTCCTGTTGTCAACGGGCGAGGGGCGCCTATCTCCTGTTGTCAACGGGCGCCTATCTCCTGCTGTCTATGGGCGAGGGGCGCCTATCTCCTGCTGTCTATGGGCGAGGGGCGCCTATCTCCTGCTGTCTATGGGCGAGGGGCGCCTATCTCCTGCTGTCTATGGGCGAGGGGCGCCTATCTCCTGCTGTCTATGGGCGAGGGGCGCCTATCTCCTGCTGTCTATGGGCGAGGGGCGCCTATCTCCTGCTGTTTATGGGCGAAGGGTGCCTATCTCCTTCTGTCAACGGGCGAGGGACGCCTATCTCCACCTCTCAACGGGCGAGGGACGCCTCTCTTCACCTGTCAATGGGCGAGGGACGCCTCTCTCCACCTGTCAACGGGCGAGGGGCGCCTATCTCCTTCTGTCAACGGGCGAGGGGCGCCTATCTCCTTCTGTCAACAGGCGAGGGACGCCTATCTCCACCTGTCTATGGGCGAGGGGCGCCTATCTCCTGTTGTCAACGGGCGAGGGGCGCCTATCTCCTGCTGTCTATGGGCGAGGGGCGCCTATCTCCTGCTGTCTATGGGCGAGGGGCGCCTATCTCCTGCTCTCTATGGGCGAGGGGCGCCTATCTCCTTCTGTCAACGGGCGAGGGGCGCCTATATCCTTCTGTCAACGGGCGAGGGGCGCCTATCTCCTTCTGTCAACGGGCGAGGGGCGCCTATCTCCTTCTGTAGACGGGCGAGGGGCGCCTATCTCCTTCTGTCAACGGGCGAGGGGCGCCTATCTCCTTCTGTCAACGGGCGAGGGACGCCTATCTCCTTCTGTCAACGGGCGAAGGACGCCTATCTCCACCTGTCTATGGGCGAGGGGCGTCTATCTCCTGTTGTCAACGGGCGAGGGGCGGCTATCTCCTGCTGTCTACGGGCGAGGGGCGCTTATCTCCTGCTTTCTACGTGCGAGGGGCGCCTATCTCCTTCTGTCAACGGGCGAGAGACGCCTATCTCCACCTGTCTATGGGCGAGGGGCGCCTATCTCCTGTTGTCAACGGGCGAGGGGCGCCTATCTCCTGTTGTCAACGGGCGAGGGGCGCCTATCTCCTGCTGTCTATGGGCGAGGGGCGCCTATCTCCTGCTCTCTATGGGCGAGGGGCGCCTATCTCCTGCTGTCTACGGGCGAGGGGCGCCTATCTCCTTCTGTCAACGGGCGAGGGGCGCCTATCTCCTTCTGTCAACGGGCGAGGGGCGCCTATCTCCTTCTGTCAACGGGCGAGGGGCGCCTATCTCCTTCTGTCAACGGGGGAGGGGCGCTTATCTCCTTCTGTCAACGGGCGAGGGACGCCTATCTCCACCTGTCTATGGGCGAGGGGCGTCTTTCTCCTGTTGTCAACGGGCGAGGGGCGCCTATCTCCTGCTGTCTACGGGCGAGGGGCGCCTATCTCCTTCTGTCAACGGGCGAGGGACGCCTATCTCCACCTGTCTATGGGCGAGGGGCGCCTATGTCCTGTTGTCAACAGGCAAGGGGCACCTATCTCCTGCTGTCAACGGGCGAGGCGCGGGGGCCACCCTGGACAGGTCTCCAGTCCATCACAGGGCAACACAGAGACAAACAGGACAAACAACCATTCACACACACACACACCTAAGGAGAATCTAGAGAAGCCAGTTAACCTAACAGTCATGTTTCTTGGAGGAAGCTGGAGTTTAGAAGGATTCTGAAAGCGGCGCTGCCATAAAGCAACGCCCCATGAGTCTGAGCAGCATCTGATACAAGAAACCAGGATTTTAGTCGGCCTCTGATGGAAATGTAGCTAAGCACCAAAGGCTTTGAGGCGGTTTCTAGGTTCTGGTTCTGGGGCGGCTCTATCCGTTGGTTGTCCCACTGAGCTCCCACAGTGGTTAAAGTTTTCTGTTTTAAATATTGTATTGATTGTTTCTGTTCCTCCTGCTTTAAACTCAGGCTAAATTTTTGCCTAGTTCGACTAGAATAGACCTGTTTCCATCTCTTTGTTCTCTGCTCCTGCCTGTCCTTGCAGCTATAAGGGGGAGGGCGTTGTCAGCGGCCGTCCTGAGAAGGTGTGGGAGTGTCTGAAACCAGTTCCTAACGGGCTCCGGGTCAAGTGGGACAGCAACGTGAAGAGGTTTGAGCTGCTGGAGCAGATTATGGAGGTGTGGTCTAGATGTTTCCTAGTGTTGGACTAGAAAGCATGCTGCTATGGGAGCGCTCTAAGCTAGCTCTCACTCTGAGCTAACCCCGTCTCTCTGGTTCAGGATGTTTCCGTCTGCCGGACTGTCACGCCCTCGGCCGCCATGGGCATCATCGCGCCGCGTGACTTTGTGGATGTCATCTTAGTGAAGCAGTATGAAGATGGCAGCATTTCCTCTAACGGTGGGTCCCTCCGTTCTCACTCCTCATTCTATTTCCTTTAAAATACTTCTGCTGCTAGACCAAAGCCTGACAGGCTGAAAGTGATGATGTGGTTGACCGCAGGGGTTTGATGATGTCATCGACCACAGGGGGTGATGATATCATCGACCACAGGGGGTGATGATATCATCGACCGCAGGGGGTGATGATGGCATCGACCGCAGGGGGTGATGATGGCATCAAACATGGGTGGTATTATGATGTCATTAACCACGAGTGGGGGTGATGTTGTCACTAGCCATGGGGGTTGACGATATCATTGAACACAGGCGGGGGTGATGATGTCATCGACCAATGGGTCTATGGGGGGATGATGTCATTAAGCACAAGGGGTGACGATTTCATCAATCATGGGGTATGATGATGTCAATAACGCCGGTGGGGGGGTGATGATGTCATTAACAATGAGGGTTGATGACATCATTGACCACAGAGAGCGATGATGTAATTGACCACAGGAGGTGATGACTACATTGACCACAGAGGAACAATGATGTCATTGACCATGGGTGGTGATAATGCCACTTAACACAGATGGCGGTGAGGATTTCATTGACCACAGGCGGTGATGATGTCATTAACCATAGGGGGTGATGACGTCATTGAACACAGGGAGTGATGACGTCATTGACCACAGGGGTTTAGGCTGTGCTCTAATGCCCTCTGTTCTATAATTTTCCAGCGACCAACGTGACTCATCCCAGCTGCCCCCCCCAGCCTGGCTACGTCAGAGGGGCCAACCACGCCTGTGGCTGCATCTGCATCCCCGTCTCAGGGTGAGGTCACCAACAGCAGGCAGAGCAGCTCTTCCTAGTCCTTTTCTCACTGCTTCTGTGTCAAACTGGTTTCCAGGGATCCAGGCAGAACTCAGGTGATGACTTTTTTCCAGACAGACCTGGGCGGCCTCCTTCCTCGCTCTGTGGTCGACTCCTTCTTCCCTTCCAGCATGGCCGAGTTCTACAACAACCTGGCCAAGGCCGTCCGATCTCTGAGGGACCTTTGAGGTCCACAGCCTGGTTCTGGCTCTGGTTGGCCACCCATCATCCCACACGGTCCAATCAAAGATGGAGCATACTGACAAACTGATGCCAAATATCTCACTGTTGTTGATTCTGTACATGTTGGTTAATCTCTGAGCTGTTAGATGATCAGTTAATGTTTAACACTGAGGTCAATGGTCATCAGAGAGCTACACTGACATTCCAGCACTTTTTCAGCCCAGATCCAGAGGTAGTCATTTAAGAAGAAAAAGTGGAAGCCCAGCTGCTCTGATGAACAGCGGGCCAAAAGGTATTCAGTCAGCCACTGACTCTACAACTTCTCCTACTTAATCAGAGAGGTCCGTAATTTCCATCATAGGTACACATCAGCTATCAGAGACGATGTGGAAAGAAAAATCTAGGAAATCAGATAGATTTATTTGTAAATTATGGTGTAAAATAAGTATTTGGTCAATAACTAAAGCTATTGTTGTAACCTAACCATTGTTAGCAGTGATAGAGGTCACTGGAAGTCTTCACCAGACACACTGTACCTGGTATTTTGGCCCATTCCTTCATGCAGATCACCTCTAAGGGCAGAAATGTTTCTGGGCTGTTGCTGGGCAACATGGGCTTTCAACTCCCTCCACAGATATTCTATGGGATTGAGGTCTGGAGACTGGCTAGGCCACTCCAGGACCTCAAAATGCTTTTTACGGACCCTCTCCTTCGTTGCCCGGGCGATGTGTTTGGGATCATTGTCATGCTGGAAGATCCAGCCACATCTCATCTTCAAACCCTTTGTTCCCAGCTCTCTGCAGGTCATTCATCAGGTCACTCATTTTTGCTCATCGTTCTCATGATCATTTGGACACCACAGGATGAGATCGTGCGTGGAGCCCCAGATCCAGGGAGATTATCAGTGACCTTGTATGTTGCCCATTTTCTTACAGTTGCTCCAGCAGTTGAGTTTTTTCACACCAAGCTCCTCACCTATTGTAGATTCACTCCTCCCAGCCTGGTGCAGGTCTACAATGTCCTTCCTGTAGTTGTTCGACTGCTCTTTGGTCTTGGCCATGGTTGAGTTTGGAGCGTGACTGTGGACAGGTGTCTTTTCCACAGATAACGGGTTCAAACAGGTGCCATTAATACACCAAAGGAGTGGAGGACAGAAGAGCTTATAAAAGAAGAAGGTCTGTGAGAGCCAGAAATCTTGCCGTTTTGTGGGTGACCAAATGCTTATTTTCCAGCATAATTTTCAAAAAGATAATTTCCTGGAATATGTTTTTTTCATTTTGTCTCTCATAGCTGAAGTGTTCCTGTGATGGAAATTACAGACCTCTTTCATTATTCTAAGTAGGAGAACTTGTACGATCAGTGGCTGACTATCCCACTGTATGTGATGAGTGCCTTCATTCAGAAGGAGGTTGTCCTCATTTCAACGCACTTTGAATTGGTCATTATTAAATAATCCCTAAACTAGACTAGTCCCCTGTCCTTCCCCAGAGACCATGTTAGACTGGTCCTCTATCCTTCACCAGAGACCATGTTAGACTGGTCCTCTGTCATTCACCAGAGACCGCGTTAGACTGGTCCTCTGTCCTTCACCAGAGACTGTGTTAGATTGGTCCGGTGTCCTACACCAGAGACCATGTTAGACTGGTCCTCTGTCCTTCACCAGAGACCATGTAAGACCGGTCCTCTGTCCTTCACCAGAGACCTTGTTAGACTGGTCCTCTGTCCTTCACCAGAGACCTTGTTAGACTGGTCCTCTGTCCTTCACCAGAGACCTTGTTAGACTGGTCCTCTGTCCTACACCAGAGACCGTGTTAGACTGGTCCTCTGTCCTTCACCAGAGACCATGTTAGACTGGTCCTCTGTCCTACACCAGAGACCATGTTAGACTGGTCCTCTGTCCTACACCAGAGACCATGTTAGACTGGTCCTCTGTCTAACATGGTCCAACACCAGAGACCGCGTTAGACTGGTCCTCTGTCCTATACCAGAGACCACGTTAGACTGGTCCTCTGTCCTAGACCAGAGACCACGTTAGACCGGTCCTCTGTCCTAGACCAGAGACCACGTTAGACCGGGCCTCTGTCCTAGACCAGAGACCACGTAAGACCGGTCCTCTGTCCTAGACCAGAGACCACGTTAGACCGGTCCTCTGTCCTAGACCAGAGACCACGTTAGACCGGTCCTCTGTCCTAGACCAGAGACCACGTTAGACCGGGCCTCTGTCCTACACCAGAGACCATGTTAGACTGGTCTTCTGTCCTTCACCCAGAGACCATGATAGACTCGTCCTCTGTCCTAGACCAGAGACCACGTTAGACCGGGCCTTTGTCCTACACCAGAGACCATGTTAGACTGGTCCTCAGTCCTAGACCAGAGACCACGTCCGACCGGGCTTCTGTCCTACACCAGAGACCACGTCAGACCGGGCCTCTGTCCTACACCAGAGACCGTGTTAGACTGGTCCTCTGTCCTAGAGCAGAGACCACGTTAGACCGGGCCTCTGTCCTACACCAGAGACCGTGTTAGACTGATCCTCTGTCCTACACCAGAGACCACGTTAGGCTGGTCTTCTGTCCTTCACCCAGAGACCATGATAGACTGGTCCTCTATCCTAGACCAGAGACCAGGTCAGACCGGGCCTCTGTCCTACACCAGAGACCACGTCAGACCGGGCCTCTGTCCTACACCAGAGACCACGTCAGACCGGGCCTCTGTCCTACTAGGTCACAGTAAATACATCTGAGGATGCATCTAGGCTGGAGCTGCTGAACGTGGTGAAACTCTCCCTATCTTCCTGATGTCTGAGGACCAACTACCGTGCTGATGCACTTTGAAACCTTTTTATTGTCTTTTTACTGTAAACTGATACTTATGCATGAAATCCACTGTGATGAGAATGTTTGATATGTTTAAGTTAGTCTGAGCTGCTCAGAGGAATCCCATTAAACAGACTGAGGCATTCTGGGATTCTTCAACAACACAAAGATTTTATTTAGTTTTAAAATGAAATGTAGAATATTATGACAACAGTGTTTAATTCCACATAAATTATTAATTGGATCATTTAGAACAATTTCTGCTTTGGCTGTTTGAAGCACTTAATGATGTCTTTCCATTTCAGTAGTTCCACAGCGTGTTCTTAATGTTTAGGTGTGCATGTTCTGCTGTATATAACCAGAAAAAGGACGGTTCGACTTCTGATTATCCAACATGGATCCAAATATAATCTGCAGAATCTATTAATAAATGAGTGGAAGCCATCCATGACTTTGTAGAAATGTCCTGCCTCGTATCTCTGAACTTTTTAGATGTTTGTTCTTCTGACATTTCTGCTCCCACATGATTAATCCTCATATATTTAGATTGGTAGAGACTTCAATGGCTGTTTAGATCCTTAGCTAGATAGACTTCCATCTAAACCACCAACTAAAGCTTTCTATCACCTTTATAAGATCAAGAAACATGCTTGATATATGGAGAGCAAAACGTGGATAAAAGGAATACTCTTTTTACTCTTCTGTACATAATTCACATACAAGAGCGAAGCAGCTCAGCAGCTGTTGAGTATCACAGCAGTTGTTCTAAATCATAGCCCAGTTCTCAAATTCAGACTGATTCACCCTAAATTAATTTTTACTCTATTACCTAGACCTCAACTTGATGAAATACAACAAGGACTTTTAGATAATGCGATTCCTACAGAAGAACTTGTAATTGCATTAAAAGTCCCGGCCTTGATGGATTCCATGCAGTTTTATCAAGGTTTTAGTGAAAGATTGATTAACTTTATTGATCTCACCGTTGACAAATGTACAGCTGATTGAAGGCCCATCTCACTGCTTATAAATTTCTAACAAGGTGCCTGAAGGAGCTGAGTTTAAAGATGATCCATCAAGACCCGACCAGCTTCATCCCTGGTAGACCTTCCTTTGGTCATTACAGACACTAAAGCAGCTGTTAGGCTGATATGACAAACAAAATAAAAAGGCAGCCATTTTGACTCAATAGACTGGAGAGAGAGGCTCTGTTCGAAAACCTAGGACGCATCCTTAGAAGACCGGATTCGAAGGCAGATTACGTCATAGCGCGGCACCGAGGTCTGGTCAGATTCCAAGAGTCCTCGTTATGCGGCCTTAAAATGCGTCCTTCTTTTTGCCCGATTTGAAGGACGGGTCTGATGTATCCTCGGTATTCTTGGATATCCCAGGATTCATTGCGAGACCAAGCAAGCTGTGATCAGAGGAAAGGTTACTTGGCGCCGAACAGTGGTGAAAATTGGAAGTTCAGTTCAATATAATACAAGTCATTTAATAGTTCTGTCTGAGATTAATGCAAAATAGTTGTTTTAATGGTTATTGAGTCAGATATGTGGCGGTAGTGTTTGGTTTATCTAAAGGTTTTAATCTGTTACTGTGTAAATGGGTTTGGCTGGAATTAAAGGACAGATTCTAATATATCTGCAGGGTGGGGACTATAAATCTGATAGGATTTTTATCTTTTTATTGCTGTTTTGCACAATATGCTTAACTACGTTTTTTTTTTTTGTTGAATATTAGAGATTTTGCAGATATATTTCTTATAAATACATTGTTTAGATTTACTTATATCTTTCTGACCCTTTTATAGAATAGAAAATCCCTTTATTGTCCCACAATGGGCAAATTTACAGCAGCAGTTGTAAATTGGACCTGTTCACTTCCTGTTTGGATTAACTGAGTGTGCAGCTGTTCAGAGGATCTCCATCTGAAGTTAAGTTATTTTCTCTATGATATCTCTGTATCTAAGTAACTCTAACTGACTACTTTAAAACATAGCACCTTCTGCTGCACTTTTCTACTGAGCACTTGTCAGTTTCACACGGTTTTATTTCTGATAGCAAGGAGTAGCTAGCCTAGGCTAGCGCTAGCTTAGCATTGCTATGGCTTCTCTCTCTCCCTCCCTTGACTCTTTTCCAACTCTTCCTTCTTCCTCTCCTCTCTCCTGCTCTCTGTGTCAGATGTTCAGTTATTCCTCTGCCTCCTTTAGTGATAATGGGATGTGTAATAAGTGTAGTATTTTTGTAGCTTTGGAGGCGAGGGTGTCAGAGTTAGAATCCAGGCTTCAGGCTGTTGAACATCCAGGAGTTAAAGTAGGCCCCCCACGTAGCTGTCCTCCAAAAGTGCCTGAGCAGCCAGGCGATTGGGTAACTGTACGCAGAAAGCGTAGTCGTGGATCTCTGCCCACTGGTCACCACCAACCCGTTCACGTTTCTAACCGGTTTTCCCCACTCAGTGACACACCCACTGAGAAGCCCACTCTGGTGATTGGCAGCTCCATAGTCAGAAACGTGGCATTAGAGACACCAGGGACCATAGTCAAATGTTTGCCGGGGGCCAGAACGGGCGACATCAAATCCTACCTGAAACTACTGGCTAAGGATAAGGTTAAATACAGTAAGATTGTTATTCACGCTGGTGGTAATGACACCCGGTTACGACGATCGGAGGTCACTAAAATTAGTGTTGCTTCGGTGTGTAAGTTTGCCAAAAAAATGTCGGACTCCGTAATTTTCTCTGGTCCCCTCCCTGATCTGACCAGTGATGACATGTTTAGCCGCATGTCGTCATTCAACCGCTGGTTGTCTAGGTGGTGTCCTGAAAACAACGTGGGCTACATTAATAATTGGCAATCCTTTTGGGGAAAGCCTGGTCTGATTCGGAGAGACGGCATCCATCCCACTTTGGATGGTGCAGCTCTTCTTTCTAGGAATCTGGCCACATTTATTAGTCCTCCAAAACCCTGACCACCCAGGGTGCAGACCAGGAAGCAGAGTCGTAGTTTAACACACATCTCTGCAGCTTCTCTACTGTTACCCACTCTTTACTCCATCCAGACAGTGTCTTGCCCACGACCAAAATCTAATAAATTAGCAAAGATTCCCAAAGGAGTAAATCATGATAATCTAATTAAAATCAAAATAACTCCAATTGGGGAAAAAGTTAAAACAATTAAATGCGGTCTGTTTAACATAAGATCGCTTTCCTCTAAAAGTCTACTAGTTAATGACTTGATTTGTGATAATCACATTGACTTGCTTTGCCTTACAGAAACCTGGCTGCAGCAAGAGGATTATGTGAGCATAAATGAGGCAACTCCTTCAAGCTATTTAAATTTTCACATCCCCAGAAGTTCTGGGCGAGGAGGAGGAGTAGCAACAATCTTCCAGTCTGACTTACTGATTACTCCCAAAACAATTAATACCTACAACTCTTTTGAACATTTAACCCTTAATTTCGCTGATCCAAATTTCATGGCAAGAAAACCTCTTCTTTTTGTAACTTTGTATCGTCCACCAGGTCCTTACTCTGAATTTTTAGATGAGTTTTCAGAGTTCCTTTCTGATTTGGTATTAAATACTGACAGGATCATCATAGTGGGAGATTTTAACATCCATGCTGACTAAGGGTGTGCAAAATAATCGTCAAATCGATGAATCGTGATTCTAATTTTTGTGATCTACTGAATCGATTCTTGAAGGCAAGAATCGATTATTAAAAAAAAAAAATGAACAAATAAAATACATTAATGGTTGGCGCACATCAATCAAACCAAGTGGAATACAACTTCCAGTCCAGCAGATGTCGCTGCGGATGTGTTGACGCCTGCTGCTTTGTGTCATAAGCATGTCCGGACTGATTATCCTCATTTTGTTATTTTAAGTTTGATGAATCCTAAGATCTTTTTGTTGGTGTGTCCATGCCAGTAATAGTAATATTTCTGTCCAGTATTTGTTTTCATTGCAACACCTCCAAAAGTAATTTCAATAAATACAGCTATGTATGAATTCAGTTGCTTTCAGTTATGTATCAATTGAAGACACTATCCAGATCACACCCAGCCAGTCAGCCACTGGTAAGGGCTGTATCTTTTTCTTACAGTGTTCAGTGAAAATATCACAATGCATCGCAATATTTCAAGTATCGTGATGCATCGTGATAGAATCGCATCGTGGCATGTGAATCGTGATTCGAATCGAATCGTGACTTCTTTGCCAATACCCACCCCTAATGCTGACATTGAAGGCGATAGCTTAAGAGCAGCCTTTAATGCTATCTTAGACACTATTGGCTTTGTTCAAAATGTGAATAGTCCCACGCATTCTCATCTTCATACTTTGGATCTTGTGCTGACATTCGGCATAGAATGTGAAGAAATAACAGTATTTCCTCACAACCCTGTCCTCTCTGACCACTTTCTAATAACCTTCAGGATTACTTTAACAGAGTTCTCCTCCCCCAAAAGAAGGTTCAATTTTAGTAGATCTTTATCAGATAGTGCAGTTATAAATTTTAAAGAATCTGCTTCACTTTCTCTCTCCTCTGTTTCACTGAGCAGTGCTGCAGAGTGCAAAATCTTAGCTTATTCCCCTTCACAGGTTGATGATTTTGTTGATGGGGTTGCTAGTTCTCTGCGTATTGCCTTAGACAACGCAGCTCCTTTGAAAATGAAAACTGTTAAAAATAGACTTGAATATTTTGTTGGAATTAAAGGAACAGTACTAGACTGGTTTAAATCTTATCTATCTGATCGAATTCAGTTTGTTCATGTTAATGATAGATCTTCAACACGCTCAAAGGTTACCTGTGGAGTACCACAGGGATCAGTGCTAGGACCAATTCTCTTTACTTTATACATGCTCCCAATTGGTAGAATTATTAGACAGCATGGGATTAATTTCCACTGTTATGCTGATGATACCCAGCTATATCTGTCTATAAATCCAGATGAAGCTAACCCATTACATAGATTACAGGCATGTCTTGAAGACATAAAAACCTGGATGACTCTTAACTTTCTGCTTCTGAATGCAGACAAAACAGAAGTTATAGTCTTTGGACCAGAGTCTCTGAAAAAGAAACTGATTAGCCAGTCACTTCATTTGGATGGGATTAAACTGATTTCAGATAATAAAGTAAAAAATCTTGGTGTTATTTTTGATCAGGACCTGTCATTTAAATCCCATATCAAAGAGGTTTCTAGAATTTCCTTCTTTCATCTGAGGAACACTGCAAAAATTAGAAATATCCTGTCCAGGGGTGATGCTGAGAAACTAGTCCATGCATTTGTTACTTCAAGGCTGGACTATTGTAATTCTTTACTATCAGGAAGTCCACAAACTGTAGTTAAAAGCCTTCAGCTGATCCAAAATGCTGCAGCCAGAGTTCTAATGAAAATTAAAAAGAGAGATCATATCTCGCCTATCCTGGCTTCTCTTCATTGGCTTCCTGTTAAATCAAGA